TACTGTGCACTATTTTATTTTTTTATATTTGTATCATGTTCAAAATAAATCTCATTTCATTTCATTTCATAGCTCATCATTGGTATTCAGCAACTGATAAAAAGACAACAAACTACATTATTGCACAGACTGACATGGTGAAGCTGTGTTTTAATTTAGGTGATTGCTTACAAAACAAACACACATTATGATCTGTGTATTCAAAAAGAACCCAGACAAAAGTAGATAACATCGGAGATGGTGGCTGACTAATCATTGCTGCAGCTTGCATATTTTTCTGGTTCAACAAATGTTAAACATTTTATTTTTAAACATGTTATTTAGTCCAATTGTCCTGCTTTGGGGACAAGTCATATAATGCGGACAGACTGAATAATGAAATAAATGTTAAAATATGTTAATAGATGGCCAGCAGACACTGGAGGGTTTTACTTCTTAAGTTGCTCAAGGAAGAACAGTAACTGTTAGGCCATCTCCCAAACAGAGGCTCAATCCAAATAACGTCAGTTGTGGAGATCACTTGAGGTTATTTAGCATAGGGACCTCCAGAGGTTACTGCCTGCTGTTTAGGAGCTAAACAGTTACCGACAAACCCTTGCTTGACAGGATGTATAGGAGCAGCCCACCTTATGAAATTGAACACAAAAAAAAATAAATAATAATTTCATGTGTACTCCGTGTGACACATGGAAACGTACAGTACACCCCTTTATAAGTTTCTGGGTTTTACAACGGAGAGTTTGCTATTTGCTACATTTGAGTAACTGGAGTTTTTTTGAAGTTCTTTTTCAGGAGGCTGTAGTCCTGGTGACTAGCGTCACCCATGCATGTTTCTGTTGTGTAATGATGTTTAGAATGCTGAGGGCTGTCCATATTAAACACAGCAGTACAGCGCGTCTTTCGCTCCCACAATAGTAGTGAGGAGTGAGGAGCTAAAATTCACATCAGTCTATGTGTAAAGAGCAGTTTAAGTAATGAGAAGGGCTGACTGCCAGCAAATGGAGGTGATCCAGGGTGGGGGCTAGGAGGTTCTCTTGAAGACTACATCATCTCTATTGTCATGAGGGGTTTATACCTTATAAGGTTCTGATCTTATTAGTTGACCAAATGATCAACCTCCTGTCTGTATCCTGCATCAGATCAATAACTGTGGTGCCATCTGCAAACTTCAGGAGCTTCGCACACCGGGTTAGCTGTAGGGGGCCCTGGGCTGTAAGAAGATGCTCCCCAGTCTTATGTCCGATGTACCGCTGCTGGTCAGTAGAAGATACCTTGTTTGATGGTGTTAAAGCCGAGCTGAAGTCCAGAAACAGGACTGTGGTAGATGCTGTGGGTGCACACACATGTCCTCACAAAAACCATAAAAGAAATGGCAGTTCTAGAAAACTCGCTCGGGATGAAGCTTTAAAAACACTCTAATCTGTGCAGAAAAAGCAGGGCTGTAGCATCGGCTTTGAATGCACTGTCCACTTCCTGACAGTTCACATTCTGACACATTTATTAGAAGGGTTTATTTTGATTCTCTCTTGCTGAAATCTTCCAGAGTGTAAATATAATAGAGCGCCACTGTGCCTCCAACCAAGATCTCAGTAAAGTTGGGGTCAATAAAAATGCCTAAAGAGGACTGTTAGATGTTAGTAGTTTCCCTTTAATTAAGGGTTGGCTGCTACCTGTGGTGCCATCTTTGACAAAGGCTACATATTTCATAGACATCCATGCATATTTAGGGGTTTTTAAGTGCTAGACTAACCATAGAAATGAATATTTATAAAGTGTAAAGAAAAGCATAGTCAGATATTTTCTTTTCTAAATAAAAAAGAGAAAAGTTTGAAGTATATTCAATCCCCTTATATTTTGTTAGCTCAAAGTATGATTGATAATCGTCCTAATCTCAGATATAAAGCCTTAAATGGCCAAGCTCCATCTTATATCAGAGATCTGATTGTTCCTTATGTTCCTAAGAGAGCACTTCGCTGTCAATCTGCAGGTTCACTAGTGGTTCCTAGAATTTCTAAAAGTAGAATTGGAGGCAGATCTTTTAGTTATCAGGCTCCTCTCCTCTGGAACCAACAACCAGTTTTAATCCGTGAGGCAGACACCCTGTCTACTTTTAAGGGTAGGCTTATAACTTTCCTTTTTGATAAAGCTTGTACCGTATTTTCACGACCATAAGGCGCACCGGACTAAAAGGCGCACTCTCAGTTATGTGTCCCATTTCTGTATTTAACACACACATAAGGCGCACCGGACTATAGGGCGCGTTTTTTATATACAGGTACATGTCCTCTACTACCTTTAAATACCTCTACTGCGTATTTAAAAATACAGCGGGGGCAAAACTGAGTATGACTGTGCTTTATTCATGTATTTATTACAAAGTATTAATCAAACCTGGCAGCTGGCCATGAGACAGACACATAGCAGATGACACAGCGCTGTGATCACTCCTAAATTAACTTAAAATCCTGAAACCTGCCGACGGAATATGTTCGCTTTTATTACCGGTATCCTGGTGCCTGCAGTTTAAATTATTTAGATGAAAAACACCTGCCAGCAGCCGCGGTGAGGCTGCTGTTGAAGGGATTTACTGTCGGTGCACCGCTGGTATGTGGGGGTCTGAGCGCCTCCGACAGAAATAGATAATCTGGATGAACTGACTGCAATTATTAAGTTTTCAGGTGGACTTTCTCACTTAAAAACATATTAAAACTACTTTATTCCCACTGATCACAGCAAATATAGCTGCAAGATTTAGATTATTTAGATGAAAAAACACCTGCCAGCCACCGCGCTGAAGAGGAGGAGACCCGCCCAGAGGCAGCTGTTGAATTAAGTTTTCAGGGAGAGAAATACAGCGGGAGCAAAACTGAGTATGATTGTGCTTTATTCATGTATTTATTACAAAGTATTAATCAAACCCATCAAAGTCATCATCCTCTGTTTCTGAATTAAACAGCTGCGCTAAATCAGACATGCCAGTTTCCCCTTCTTCGCTGTCAGTCACTTTCCGTGCAGCGCAGCTCCTCAGAAATAATGCCGGCTTTTGCAAAACCTTGAACAACAGAGCCAGCAGACACATTAGTCCAAGCATCTACAATCCATCCGCAAACTGTGGCGTAATCTGCCCGGCGCTGCCTTCCACTTATCCTGAAACTGTGGTCTCCGTCTGTCATCCATCGCTCCCACGCCGCTCGCAGCCATACTTTGAACCCCCGGGATAACGGCGAGCACAGCGTTCATTTGATTCACCTTTTTTTCACATCGGCTGTGAGATGGGCACGCAGCAATGGTGATGCGTGGAAAAAACCACCTAGTCTTCTCAGATACACCTGCCTCAGCCACGCATCCACCCAGCCCTTTTCATTTAATATCATATGTCATCAGAGCGCTGTGTCTTCTTCAATTTTTCCATCTCGAGCAGCAGCAGCGCGTTGGCGGCGCTTCAGATGCTTAAACGCTCCCGACGTGCTGCACCAAAACGCGCTGCAGGACCTTTTGCTGCACCTATACGCGCGTCAACCATTGACTTTGCATGTAAACTCGCTGCTTCTGCTGCACCTGCTGGGTCCGGTTCACACCGATGTCGAGCGGTTGAACAGCGAGCACAGCGTTAATTTGTTTCCCCATGTTTTTCTCATCAGCTGTGAGATGGGCACGCATGGAGTTACATATTAACAGCGATGGTGAGGGGTGGAAAAAAAAAACACCTGGTCTCCTTACATTCAGCCACTCTTTCATCATCTCCTCAATGAGGTGGTCTCAAAAGTCGCAGTTACAACACACATAGGGCGCACCGCATCATAGGGCGCACCGCACATTTTGAGGGAAAAAAAAGACGTTTAAGTGCGCCTTATAGTCGTGAAAATACGGTAGTTAGAGTGGCTCAGGTTATCCTGAGCTATCTCTATAGTTATGCTGCTGTAGGCTTAGACGGCTGCAGGACACAGAGACCCCTTTTTCATCATATCTCTATTCTCCCACTCTGCAGAATCTGTTAGTTCAATCTCTAACGTTATGCTCTCTCTGCTTTTTCTCATAGTAGCTTTACCTCGTCTGTTCTTGTTTGGCTTTGTTTATAGATGTTGGAGATCTGACTGTTTTTCAGTGTAGTCCTGTTTCTCTGACTGTGACTGGCTGGATGTGCTCTCTTTGTCCTCTGGCATTGGAGCTGGCTCGGTGCTCGTCGGCCTGGCTGTGTGTTTCCTGGACAGGGCTGCCTTTTACAGTTGCCTTTTGTATCTGTTTCTGCCTCCTTGAACCCCAGTCAGCCTCAGCAGATGGCCGCTCACACTGAGCCTGGTTCTGCTGGAGGTTTCTTCCTGTTAAAAGGGAGTTTTCCCTCTCCACTGTCGCTACAAGCATGCTTAGTGTGAGGGATTGCCTTCGAGCCGATTAGTTGATGCAATCAACTGGTTTTCCTTAGATAGAAAACTTTGAATCAATTTGACTGGATGATCTGGTGAACTGTAAAGTGCCTTGAGATGATGTGTTGTGAATTGGCGCTATATAAATAAACTGAACTGAATTGAAGATTGCACCTCATAGTCTTGAGAGGTAACATTATTAGTCAAACCTGAACCCATTATGAAACATGATGGAGGCAGTATTATGCTGAAGGGATGGCCTAATCAAAGTCTGGAATCAAGCCTAGTCCAGGAAGAATTAGTGCTAAGAATTGGAAGTTAAAGTTCACAGATGCTCTCAGTCCAATCTGACTAATAACAAGTTTGAATTAATAGAGCAAAGTCTGATTTTAGAAAAGATTGACTCTAAGGTGCTCAATAATGCACATCATGCACATTCTGTTGCTTTGTCACATTAAAACTCTAAAATATATTTGAAGATTAAGGCTGTAATATTACAAAACCAGAAAAAGATTTCAGGACTATAAATACCTCTATAAGGAACATTTAGTTAAAAGTACATATTCTGAGCTGATGTTGCATTGTAGGTTCAGTATACATATCCTTGTACTTTTCCGAGTTGCTTCAGACACTTACTGCTGACCAGCTGGCCCACGCTGAGAGCCGAGGAAGATGAGGAGGTAGAGGAGGAGGAGGAGGCCTGGTGTAGAGGACTCTGTCTGTGGGGCATGTGGAGCAGGTTGGCTTGAGATGATGCAGGGCCTGACTGACCCTGCTGAGCCTGAGGCAGCTGGACACACAGACACAACAGGGCATTCATATGATGTACCAACAGCTTGAGGTCCAAAAGAAAACATTAGTCCTGCTGAACATCATCATGAGAGAAATAATTTGCAATAATAATGTCATTATGCTGACTGGAACACACTGTAGAATTGAATCAACCCAATCAACAGATGCTAAATTAGCCAGTTAGATGCTGAACATAATGAGAGACTCACTGTACTTCATCATGATCATTATGAAAATAATTCCACTGGGTTATTGCAGTGAGTACAAGTATTTCTCTCTGTGTGAGCTTTGTAATAACTTCTCTTTGAAAAAAAAAAGGTTTGGTAGAAGAATAAAGAAAAGACGATTTTGACATTAGCCTTGTTTTTTTATCATTAGGGATGGGGAGATGCCTTTAGTGAGAGCCTGAATGTAGGTAAAAAACGTCTGTACGCAGCAGTCCCCGTATCAAACATAATTCATGATATGCCAACTATGTGCACAGACGGCAAAAACTGATGTATTTTCATGTTTTATGCACATTTGGGTTTGCTTTTAAAAGATCAATACAGTATGTCTTTACTTTAAAAGCAACAAAAGCTGTCTAAACCACAAACTGGGCTGGTTTCTCTTCTCCTCTTTTGCCATTAATTATTTTCTCTGTGGCATGTGTTTGTTTGGATGGTGGTGGTGGAGGGGTGTCAACAGCAATGCACACACTGTCAGGACTGTTGACAGGCTCGGAGAATTATCTAGCTTCACTGGAAATATTCCAGACTGTAGGCTCTGACAACCGTAAATTATGCCCGTGGAACAATGCGTACAAGCTGGCTTTGAGGTGCATACACGAGCATAAACATTATTACAAATGCATTAATTCATTCAAGAGTATGATCTGCTGTTTTGGGTGCCACAATTAGGTGTCCATCTTCAGAAAGAGTTCATCCATTCTGCACTACAGAGGCCTTCAATGTGAACCTTTACCCTGTAATTCTGCTCTGACATCTTCATTTTCAAGTCAATAACATTTTCAGAGTGCATGAATTGGCAGACGTGCATCTTATGCACCATATAGATTGGAAAGTTGGGAGGACAAGGTCTTCAAGACGGCAAGGGCTTTATGTAGCATAAGATTTGTTCAGGTCAAAGAGGGCAAAACATGGGGCTGTAGAGCATTTATGAGGGACAACAATGAAACAAAAAAAAGATATGGAGGGGGGTAAAAGTGAAAAAATTACATTTGTTTGGTAGCTTGATATTTCAGAAGTCTCTGCATTGGTTTATGAGTTTCAGAGGGACTTCACAAATATTTTACTGACAAATCTGCACCAACACAAGTGTAAAAAATGCAGCATTTTATGGGTGAAAGTATGCAAATAAGTGCATACAGGGTTTAGGTAGGAGAATATTTTCCAACAAAATGTTATAACATCTTGAATATATACAGATAATCACATTAAAGCACAGAAAGTATACTATCGGAAATAAATGTGATTGATGAACACAAACCGGCTAATTCTGATCATCTCTCCAACAACGGTCTTCAGAATTAATCAAAATTGTACGCAAACTTTGACTTTAAGGGATGATTTTCTGATGTACCTAAAGGGATCCACAAAATGGAAAGCAGGTAGATCGCGCAAAGTTTTATTTTACTGACATAAACTCTATTTGGGTTCCCAGCCCCTTTATATTAACAAACTCCATGTGCTACTTGCAGTCTTAGAGTGGCCTTTAAAGAACTTTATACAACTACCTCCATAAAGTTGAAGGTAAAAATTACGAGTATTATGAAATCAATAATAAAAGTAATGGTGAATAATAATTAATTTAGGACAAAAGGAACATTTAGGTACATTTGGAAAAGCTCAGTTTGTCTGCTCATCCCCTAAAGCCCCCTTTGACAGAGAAGGAGTGATGTTCAGATTTCTAACTTTTCTTTATGTAGCACATACAATTATAAATAAAAAATGCTCACACTCAAAAGACAATAAGAAAATCAAAAAGGTTTAAGAAAGAAAAGAAACCCTGAGAGCCTTATAGAGTCCCCATTAATAATATCATTAGCTTGTTTTCCAACAATGAGATTAAGGTCTAAACAGCTGGATTTACCTCCATCAACTCTTTACAACACACCCCTGACTAAAATGTTGCAAACCAAGGTAAGGCCCCAACAATTTCTCACAAGATAACTGTGCTTTGTGTGGAACCTATAAAAAGAAAATTGAAAGGGAAAAAAAAATCTCTTTGCCATAAGTTAGTTCAGGTGAGCCCCTGGTGTCCTTTTATAGGCTCTGTGATCTTTGTTCTCTGATGGTTAATAAAACTGTGTTTATTCTTTTATATATAGTCATACCAAGATATTTACGTTTAGTTTTGGGGTTTTATTAATTATAGAAGAACCTCCTGCTGCATAAATCTGTGCTTTCCTGCTTACATAATTTTCCCCACTAATATCATTAAATAATTTATCTTCTGATAGTTCATACATGTTGACCTGCACATAGAATATCTCTCCATTGTCTGTCTTTTTTACCAATGCCTCCAATGTGTCCATCATGACAGCAGAAATATTGCGTTTCTGACTTTCAAAGGTGCTTAAAATAGACACAGGAACTGAGCCCAAAATGAAATGTTTGATAAATCCCTTATTAGATAGTAAGCACTCACATTTGGATATAATAATACTCATAAGACTTAATCCTTTATGCAGGACGAATGCAAAAATAATCAAAGAGGGCTGCAATGGAGTGTTCTAGGTTAAACTATATTGATTTATCAAAGTGGCCTAGCCAAAGTCAAAACTTGAATCTGTTGCAAAACTTGAACGGTAATCATCACAGTTTGCTCTTCATCAAGTCAGACTCACATTGAGTTATTTTCGAAAATGTCAGGATTTCAGGCCACACCTTTCAGCGTCATTAAGTTGTTATCGCATAAGCTGGTCTATTAGAAACATACAACTCTGGTTTTAATGTGCTGGGAATATGAAAAAGCATAATATTTTTGTTAAGGTTGCTGTGTTTTTAAAATCAGGGCATCATCATGAAAGAAACAAAACAAAACAAAACTCCACTAGGTGTTGCTCATCCTACAATTCTGGAACCAGCCCTTAATCATTTCTTGGAGTTTAGAACTGTAACCATCCGCTCTACAGTAAAGCCAGCTTCACGTGTATGTTAGCGTGTTCTTAGAGGAGCGTATATGTTACCTGCTGTCCGGGCTTGATTGGTGACAGCGTGATTCCCTGGGTGTTGATGACAGGCAGGATCTGATTGCCGATCACCGTGGCGATGATCTGGCCTTGAGCGTTGGTCAGAAGCTGAGGCGTAATTGGCTGTACCTGCAGTGCTGGGTTGCCACCCCCTGATTGGCTGGAGGGCCCTGCAGAGTTGGGCATCAGTGGGATTGTTCCAATTATCTACAAAGGGGGCAGAGCGGAGACTAAATCAGCTGGGTGGTTTTAAAAAAGCAGAAAGAGCAGAGAGGGTAAACGCCACTGGAGGTATCAATGAAAATGACATTTCCTTATGGAAGAGAGGATTTTAAACATTTAGAGCAATTAATGCTGCTAATCAGAGTAAGACGCTTTAGAGTGGTGGGATTGAGAGACAGAAGGATGCAGAAGTGTCCACTGATCGTCTGTCACTGATGTGGCTTTACAGGCTGGAGCAAGTGAAGCCAAAGCAGACTGCTGGGAGCGCACTGCAAAGGTCAGCGCTGAATACCTGTGTGTGTGATGGTGCACACCACTGACTGTATTATCCATCTCCAGGCCTAGATCAGCAAAGATGTGTGTGTGTGTGTGAATGTGTGCTGAAGTGTCTTTGCCTGTTTCTGGAGTGAGGCTGCAGAGAAACAGGCAAAGTGAAAAGAATGAGGGAAAAAAAGAAACAATAAGAGAGAGAGAGAAGAAGAGGGAGACAGGACCCTGTGCCTCTAATCCAACTCTCAGGGTCCAAGGGGTACTTCACCCCCCTCCAACCATTGCTCTCCTCTCCTCTCTCCAGTGGCTGTAATCAGGAAGGGCAGATCAAAGGGGGTGGCAGAGTGTCACTGCCACGTTTTAGCTCTCAGAGCTGCCAGAGTGTAGCCGGGAGTACCGCTTTAGGGGGGACTTAGCGCCTCTTCACTATGATGAAGGTTAATGTCATCTGGGGACTGGTTCTGGGCAGCGGCCATCACCCTGGCCCCCCTGCTGGCAGCGCTCCTCCAACTCGCCTCATTACACTAGAGAGCAGCTCCACATGGATGAGGCACCATCGTTTTAAATTCTGTTGTTTGGAAACAAGGAAAAAGCTGCCTGGGCTAGAATTGCAAAGTCTTGGGCTCGATCTCTTGATGTTTGCCTTTCAGTGAAAGGCTCTGTGCAACAGCCTAACAGCCCAAAGCAGCACGCTGCATATGGCTCACCTCCTCCTCTTCCCTCTCCAGTCTCTTTGACATAATAGGGAGGGATCTGTAAGAGAAAGGTGGTCCAATGATGTATAATTCATCCCTGCTATGCCTCATTTGCTTACGTTGCTTCGCATTAGGGAACAGATAATTTATCTCTCTCTCTTGGTCTTTCAGCCGGGGTTTTACAAACTCCCTGTAATGCTCTCCTGCCACTTAGCATATTTTATTGCCCTTCCTGACGCCTGTGTCTCTGGAGTCCCACTGATCCTACTTTGCATGCCACCGTGGCAAAGAACTTGTTCCGCTCAATTATTCATCATCATTGGTCTAAGTGGTTGTTCTATAAGCATAATAAAGGAGCAGGAAAATGACTCATCCCACCATACCAGGTCCCTTACTTGTATCTACACAGATGTTTTACAGTGGCATCACACTGCTCCATTTAGGGCGAATATTAAATAGTGACCTGTCAAAGTGTTGATTTTTAGGAGGAAAAATGACACACACGTTGTTTCTGTGACTTTCCGAAAGACACATTTAACACTTAACAGTTGAATAACATTTTATACCGGAAAATAACTTAAAACAAATCTTATTTCCTGGCTTATATTTGTTTTAATTTTAAGATGATTAAACAAATATACAAGCCAAATCTATTCAAAAACTTGATTAAGCTAAGACCCTCCTACAGCATAACTATTTCCAGCTATATTTGTGGCTGTTTCTTGTTTCTTGTGTAGCTTTTAGAGTTTGAGTTTAAAAGGCATAGCTACGGTGGCCAAGAGGTAAAAACGTGCAGCAAATACATTACTGCCCAGCAAATACAAAAAGTGATGCAAGTAACAAACACCAGAATTTGACCATGGTACCTATATAGCGCTTTTTCCAGTCAGAAGACTTGACCAAAGCACTTTACACTACATTCAGTAATTCCTAAACACACTCACACACTGATGATGGCGAGCTACATTGTAGCCACAGCTGCCCTGGGGCTCGCTGACAGAAGCGAGGCCGCCATACACTGGCGCCACCGGGCCCTCTGACCACCATCAGTAGGCAATGCAGGTAAAGTGTCTTTCTTAAGGACAGAATGACACTGAAAGGCTTGAACTGACAACCCTCCGGTTGCAGGGAAAACTCCTTCATCCGACGCCATCAAACACAAAAATAGACTATCCGACTAACAACACAGGCAAAAAAAAAATGCTGCAATATATATAGGGGGAGTTTTACATCAATTCATTAGGGATTAGAGTCTTAGTAAAGACAGAAAAAGGATGCCCAGAGAGATTGAGTAAATAAAAAAGACTCAAAGGCAAACATACCTTTTCTTTCTACCCTTCATATGTCTGAGCGTCTTGCATCCTGTGTTTACTAAAGACTGGTCCACAAACATTCATATATATTAATAAATATGTATTTATACCTAGGTCAGGGCCCATATGAGTTATTTTGATCTTTAATTAAGGTTTATTTTATTTCTCTGTACAAAGCATATATGTAAAATATTGCAACTTTACCTTAATTAGCTACATTAATATGGACATAACTAATCAGATTGAAGGCCTGGTCAGATCAAAAATGTTTCGTGTAAACATGTCAAACTGAATATATTTATCTGATTTGGTCTGATCGGAAAGAACTTATGTTGTGAAGAGGTGTTTTTTGCTGATATCCATTCCGATTGGCATTCGTGAAGATTCGGATCCTTTGAGTAAATAACCTCCACTGTGCATGTGTGCAAAGTCAGCATGACTTTAACTATCCTTCTATGATTAGAAAGCATCTCTAAAGCTATGTTCAAACACCAGGCAAATGTGAACATTATTCTGATCTTTTTCATCTGAAAAAGATCAGATTTATGCTAAGCTCTTTTGTGGTACTATAAAACAGATGCATATCTGATAGTTTAAAAGTGTTTGCAGTGTGAAAGGTCAGGTCACGTTTGACCTCTCTACAGCAGGAGTGGTCACTACTCTACGAAGGTCTAGGGTTTAAAGATGTGTTCTATTTTTTTTAACCTTCCTTTGTCTTTTTATGACTTGGTCATAATATTTTTGTCCTCCAGTGCTCTACACTTTAGGAAAAACACACAGACAATAGTATCCACTATTACTTCATCTTTATTTAAAAAAAAGCCCTAGTATCTTTAAACAGTGCTCTGCTGAACGACATCTATATTCTCTTTCTGTATTTTCTTTGTGCTTTGTTGTCCCAACCTGTTCAGACAGATAACAGCACATCTGATGGTGTTCAGTTTATTAGTATGAACAAAAATGCGAAAAAAATTAGATCTCAGAAGAAAAAAATCTGAATTGAGCATTAATAGCTGCTTAATGAGCTAACTCCTGAGTAGGTTTTGCTAGATCTGCTTTAAAATCTGTACAGTCTGACAACCAGCAGGATATTGTTTTAACGGAATTTGATAAGAGCAAGGAGTCATTTCCACTTCCAAACACCTGATTGTGGGTTTCTTATGCAGCAATTTCCTTCACACAACTATTTTATAAATAAGCAGCCATTGGGACTTCTCATTCACAGCTTAGTAATCTCCTAACTTATTTCCCATTTTTTTCTGGCTGTTATTTCACTTCCTGTGTTTGCCTCTGCTCCGGTTCATGTGTGAGAGACGTGCTTCTCTCCATCCAGCAGAACTCATTAAGATTATGCTGCTCTTGTTTCCACAGAAATGTCATCTCATCTCTCCAGCCGGGGCAATCTGTGTCTTTAGCTATGGTCGCCAGGCAATATCTCTGCCCATTTTTCCTCCCCCTCAGTTCATGCGGTGAATTGGGACCCAAGAGGGGAATTTTTTTTTGAAAAGTCAACACACAAGTTCTCACTGCAATTCTAAGCTTCATTCTGCTCACAAATTCAGAGAAAATTAAAACAATGAAATAAAGGCAAGATGTTTTCTGATACATATTCTCTTTTTAATAACTTTAGAAGATAAGAAATCCTTTACTTTAAATCTAAAAAAATTGAGAGCTAGGTCTGGGATTTTTATACTTAATGGAACTATTAAAGTCATGTTATATACACCAGTGTTATCGAATCTTTTATAATTTCCCCAAATTTAAGTTTCTAAAACTCTAAATACTGTCCAAAGATGAATGGATTTGTTTCTTGGTTGTTTTTTGATAGTTTTTCAGACTTATAAAACATTTAAATCTCATCATATACCAGTCTGTAGGAACCTTGTTACACACAATTACAGGTGATGTGTGACGAATCTAAAGACTGGTGAGAAAAATAATTCTTTAACTCCCCTGCAGTAGCATTAAAAAGGTCAACAGCAGTTTGTTTAGTAGGTGCACTTCATCCAAGGAGTGGAAGCTTCCTTCAGTTGAGACAGATCACCAGTGACGTGCGGTCAGGGGAGGCAGGTGAGGCAGTGCCTCACCAGCCATCATGGAAAGAAAGAAAATATATAATCATAAAGTAATTTAAATTGTTATATTCATCCGGTGGTTTGTACTAAAAAATATTCATTTTTCATGTAGCTTCACCAATTTCGATTTTTATTTGTTCAAAATCGCTGAATTTTCTTATTTTCCCATTCAAATGCTTGGAAGCGATGCCGGTGAGGCAGCAGCGAGCTCTGCCTCACCTTGGATTGCGCAACCCCTGGCTCTGCGCTGGCTGCAAAGCGGAGAGAGCATGTTGCTGTACGGCGTCAATAAAATGGTTTAAACAAATGTAATATGTGAACTTATTTCTAATAATTTGGCTTATGTATATAATGTACAGAGCTTTTTGTCACCAACTGTGTTTGTGTAACGTGTTTCGTGTAATGAGCGATTATAAACGGCAGAGAACAAGTTCGAGGTGAGGCAGGCAGTTCTCTTGCCTCATGGCAGGGGGTGCTCAAGAGACTGAAAACATAAGGCAGGAACAGGACGGATCAAGGAAGGCTTTCTTCCCTGGCAGTGATCTCCATTGAGACAGAGAGACTTTTAAAACTGAAGGAAGATAAGGAGGACTTCTATTCATTTATAAGTAAAGGTAAGACAGTAATAACATTTATTTTGTTTTGTTTTTTAAGGAAATGTGTGTTTTGTGAGCTACAGTTTGTATGTGTAAGGATGCAGAAGTGAAACATAACCTGTAAACTGCTGTCAATCTATGCATCTATTTGCAAATCTGATTCTGATGACGTCAGTGCCTCACCAGCTATGAACCTCACCGCACGTCACTGCAGATCACCATGTTTTGAAGTAAAGCGTCACCTGCTGTATGACTCAGCGTGTGAGCGTGTTGCTTTTCACATTAGTATCAGCATTATATGCAAAAGGCCTGACTAAAGGTCACAGAGTATAAAGGAGATAGCAGATAGTTTTTCAAAAAGCTATATGCATGGTTAAGGCCTCACCTGGTTTGACTGTATTCAGTTTAGAGAGGAAACAGCCATTAGCATTTGTGCTGCCAGTACAGAAACTGCACTTAACTATCACTAACTGCATTTAAAACCTTAGGAAAAGATAGATTTTACATCGCAGAGAAGATGGGAGATAAAATGTGTGATTTGTATAAGGGGGGGGGAGTATCTTTAGAAGAAGGGTGACTGAATAATTGTGGCTTTTATCCGCAGCCTTAATCACTGTTGTAGAGGCAGAGAGGATAAAAGAGCCTCATTGATTTTCCTTGGAGAATAAAAAAAAACGATCGAGCCAATATAATTAAGGTTTAAAAACTGAACTCCAAAGACCCATCAGACTTGACACTTTTCAAGGTTCTCCAAGCTCTTGCTTATGAAAAGGCCTTTTGACAGCACTGTAGAGGAAATTAAGTGAACAAAGCCTGCACACCATGGTTTAAATTCAAGGAAAAGTAATTGTTTACATGCGGAGTGCAGGGACAAGAGAGACGGTCCCCTGAACTGTAATCAAACTGCACCTTGAATGAGTAACAAAAAAAAAAAAATCCACTAAAGAAGGCACATTCCTTAATTTACCATATGCGAGTGGTGTATAATACCCAACGTTCAGGGGAGGGATGGGAGAGACCTTCTCATTGGGGAGTGTATATTTCAGAGTCCTTCGTCTGAATAATGCAGTGGAATAATGAGGTGGGGAGCAAAGGCTGTACCCCAGGGCTTTGACCATCTCAGTGACCTGATTATGTCAGGAAGTGTCAGCCACCAAGACGCTACAAAAGCACAGAGCATCCCGTCAAGTCCATATCCTCAGTGATCTGTTCCCAGTGCTCCAGGCACCTTGTGAGCCAGAGAAGTCCATACTGTCTCATTAGCTATGTTTAGGATCAAGGTCTCCTTTTCAGACAATACTTTCTACATGGTCAAACCAGTAAATGTAACTCTGAAATGTCCAGTTTAAAAAACATCAATTTACGTGTGTTTTATCAGTTAAAATATCTCCAGCTGGATTAGTGTCATTTTGTTTTTGTAAAGTTGACATGATGAGGACAAAGCAAGCGTAACACAAAGAAACAGTGGTTATTATAAATAACAGAAAGTGGCATAAAAGTCCACAATGTCTGCTTTAATGTGCGCACTGTGCACCTGAGATAAGATGATTCATTAGATAGAGCCGAACAATGACAAGCACCATTGTTCAAGCCTCTGGCTACTGATGGAACAATTTTGCAGCCACCCTTAAATATGACAAGGTCAGCGTTTTACTCCGACAGGCGCGTGAGGTTAAGAGAGGGAAGGGTTTGTTTATTCCCAAAATGCTTAATATATGGAGGGTGGCGGCCAGACTGTGGACAAACAGCTTTGAGGCAACATGGAGTCTCGCCACGAGGAATCAATGAAAAAAGATCAAGAATGTAATACAGATGGTCCTTCTTGAGCTGGACATTAATACTGTGTATAACAGAAGATCTTTTAGGGGCTCCCAACCACTGCAACTACTTTAGTTATGAAACTTTGCTTTATGAAAGAGAACTACTTCATGTTTTGCAAATTATCAGATAAATACACTTTCATATTCTATTAAGACTGCGTGTAACAGACCAACACACAGAACCATATAACTATGGTTCTGTGTGTTGGTATATCAAATTTTTCTCTTGCATTTGTCCCAACAACCTTAAATTAAATCCAACTGCCCATAATTAGATCCCTTTCGGAAGTCGGAAGAAAATAGTGTGCATTTATGAACAAACAGCTTCATAAAGATAAACTGCTTGATAATCTCTGTTTGGTCTTCATTGAGATCCAAGGGAAAAGAGAAGGATTTTCAGGTAAACTGACAAGTTGAAAAACGTTTAGTAATGAGTGGAGCAGCAAGAGGCCTGTGGTAACTCCAGAGGAGCAGCAGATTTGAACAACTCAGTAGTCATGCTTTCAGGACATGCAGACTTTATGAGATATTTTTAATAAAAACACCACTAAAGATTGAAAGACATAAAAAGCAGGTTATCTCAAATGATGTCTGGGGCATTGTAAACATGTTGGAAAAGGTGCTTTTGTCAGGTAAGACCAGAATATAGCTCTACTGCCAACATACAAATGTTCTGTGGAGGAAAACTAATACTGTACATTATCCTGAACCCACGATCCTCACTAAAAATACTAGATCACAGCATATTCATGCACTGAAGTGGCTTACTTCTAAAACTGGAACTAAATTCAATCGAGAATCTGAGAGGAGACTTGTAAATTAAAAATGTTAAATAATCCTATACAAATTTCCTGCAGCTGAATTATGATGTGAATCATCAGCAAAATTCAATCCATAGTTCCTTGGAATGAGGTGCACCTTTGGCAAAAATGCCATTAAAATCTGTTCATAACTTTTCAAGTTATCCTGTAAACAGACAGAAAAACACACACACTCAAACTCCACTAATGACACCACCTCCTTGGCGGAGGTAATAATTACAAACTGCATTACACTCACCTGTCCTTGTGCATTCGTAACAAGCTGCCCGGTGGCTCCTTGCAAATTTGAGAGGGTGTTGCCGAACACCTGAGATCCAGCAATTGACCCCATGGCGGCTGCTGCTGCCACTGCTGCCTGGCTAGCCAGAGGGTTCAGCTGGAGAGGACAAACACATCATTTATCAGGAAAAACATCTGCTTTTTTGTACACATTTATTCTACAACACAAATGTCCAAAGAGGTCAGCAAACCACATCCATACTTTCTTTTTGTTGTCCAGAAGAGAAGAGGCTAACTGCAAAGAGGTCTTTATAGTCCAGCAGTGAGGACCATGCAGTTTATCAAACGTTTCCCAGAGGTCTGTGCCCCTGGACCCAGTGGGAGGCTCGAGGGTAGGGAGGAGCAGTGAAAACTGAAGGGAGGCTGTGAATAAGTGGCCATTTTACCACTCTAAGTGCTTTCTCTGGCCTCTGGGGCTCCCCATGGGCTAAGTCTAGTCCTTCGACCCTCAGCAATGGCCCTCCCACACAGGCTCTCACAATAGAGCCAGGCAGCAAGGCTATGCATCACTGTATCGTCTGTTGCTTCAATAAACTTGGACTAAGAAATCCCCCTGCATCAAAAGACCCTAACAGAGTGATACTGTAGAGGCAGAGGAAGGTTAAAATGACCATCTGTACATTGCTGTAATGGACTCATTTAGTTTGGCCCATGGTGGAAGAAAGAGACTTCTTGCATTGAGAAGAGGCTGGAGAGCCAGTCACATTTCTCAGATTACCCATATAAATCAAGCTAACCACTTATTAGGGGCTGAAAATGCACTGCTGATTTGGTTGTATTGCAGTAAAGCAAAGTCTTATTGAGCTGAATAAGTAGATCAAAGACAGAGAGAGCAGAGCTCCCGATTACTGGACAGAATAAAGAAACTGGCTGCTTTCTCCCTGCTGCTAACCCTGATTTCCTACTTAACTCAAATGAGAAGACTAAAAGAAAAAGGAAAGTTAAAGCAGAATGTAGTGAGGTGAAAAAATCCAGCTTTTTCATACTCTCTACATTCTGTAGAGAATTCAGCTTTGTTCATAGATCCGGATGCCATTTATTCTTTCTTATCCCACCACCATATATTATTACACTTTCTGAAATCAAATGATGAAAAAATGCCACAGAGCGATCAATACTTTTTCATTGACAGTAAAGGTTAAGCACATTAAGAATGACACTGCATTTGTCTTATGAAATCATATTTCATGTTGGTGGCCTCAAATTGGCCGTGATTGATATTGCCTCCTCTCGTCTGAAAGTCATCCAGTTTTTCCTCGATAATCGCAAGATTGTCTTTTATGTGTTTCAGTGGACGCCCTTTGGGAACCAGGAACATCTCAAATGTTTGAAAAAAAAGAAGCCCACAAGTCTGAGTCATTCGGTTTTTTAGTCCTGAAACTGTGGTAAAGTGTATTTCTAAATTTACTCTCATTTCTGATTTTAACGTTTAACCTTTTTTTCTTTATCATTTTATTATTATATTGTTTATTTTTTGCTCAAACTCTGCAGTACAGAACTTTGATCCAACACCTACTTGTTTGTAATTAAAATACTGAAATTCTCCTCTATCATGTCACATTATTAACTGTGCAGCCCTTTATTAAAAACATACTGTACACAATGGCTGTGTCCGAACATCCGCCCAAACCCCTAAATCCCTCAATCACTATATATAGCTGGGACTATATAGTGGACTTTATAATGAACTCAGTTAACCGACCGTTTGGACAGATTATCACTACTTTTCCCTCCCCTTTGGTCATGTAACTCCACCTCCCCGCACGGTGCCTGCACCATCTTTGTTATTTGTCGCCGCTTTCGGGTAGTGACAGCCAATGGCAAAGGCGCTCTGCTGTGACAACAAATCCCATGATGCTTCTCCTCGCAAAACATATCTGCTCGTCTAGTGACCATGGATGATCACTACTTTTCAAGGTGCATTGCAGGAAATTTCGACTCCACAACTTTTTCATCCACTAGACATTTGGACACTCATCTGAAATGGCCTAACCACCATATAGTGGTTAGGGTGGACATTCAGACCATCCAATGTGATACAGGGGACGGTTTTTTTTTGAGCTTTTAATATTTTCAAACATGACTTTAAGTTGGTCTTGTAAATCAGAAAAACATATTGAATCATCAAAAAAATTTGATTTTTTAAAACAGTTTTAGTGTTTTCCGTTCTTTAAACTTGAAGAGAGAGACTGTACCAGTATCAGAAGCCTCTTGTCTATCTCTGACCTGATATCGCAGGATACTAACCCCACATGAGTGGAGCTTTGCAGAGAGCTGATGAAACATTAAGCATTGCCTGATAAGTGTATGGCATTAAAGTCTTATTTTGTTTTCAACCAATTAACAAGTTCAACTGCAAAACAATGCATTACAAGCTGAATTGTGCAGTTGTTAAAATTATCTGCACGAACACATGTTTAAGTATGTTTAGAAACAGATACAGGTGTCCGGTTAAAATATTGTTAGAAGCAGAAGACTGTCCTGTAGAACCCCAAATTTGGACAAAGTGCTGCTGTTAACAGGAACGAATACAAGAGAGTCCAAATTTTCTCTGGTTAGTGTGTTAATAATAACCAAGTGACACTGGTGCCAGGTAGGTCTAATTTTACAGCATGTTAAAGCTATTTTCCAGCACATGTAAAGCCGATAGAACTGACAAAGACTCCTGGTGTCAAAATGTCTTTTAAAAAAGTTAAGTTTAAGTCCAGTACCCTTCCAGTTTAAGCCTATTTAGTGATGAAGAAAAATACGGAATTATAGTGAGGTATTAGCCCCACAAAGAGATTTTTTAGCTGCAACAACCAAAAAAAAAATTATCTCCTGCATTTCATCCTCATGATATATCTATGCCAGCATTGATTGGAGCAAATAAATATTATTTTCTTACAGAGCAACATGGCAAGATTTTTAAGGCATGATTGTAATAATTTTAAAAGTATGATTTTGATTGCCACCCTGGATTCGTAACTCAGGGTATTTTTTTCTAGCTAAAAATAAAAATTGCTGCTTGTAAATGTTGGAATAGTGGGAGGAAAGCCAACATGGTCAGTTAGGCAGAGTTAAACAGAGGCCACATATCAACACAATGATAACGTGATCCGCTCAGGCGAGCACAGCCAGAGTCCCCCCTGAAAATCTGCTGTGCTCTGTGTCATTATGTGAGTGATAGGCTGTTAGAAAAGCCTTTAGATATATTTGAAATATCATCATCACGTTTCATTCAATGATAGCCCTCTCAGGTGCTCTGTTATTCTGCTAAATCTTTGTGAAAAGAAAGCCGACTTCATTGCTACATCTCTGGCACAGCATAATATGGATAGCAGTTAGAAGGAGAGCCAGAAATAAGGAGAGGCAAAGCTTTGCTCAACACCTAACCAGGTGATTTTCCACCACGGTGACTCCTCTCAACACCTCGGCAGGAGGCACAAAATGACAGAGCTGGGCTTGTATTTGTACTGATTGCATGTGTTGGAGGAGATAAACAGCGATCTTCCAGTTTGTAGAGCCTGCATATTAAAGATTGTGTTTCTTTTCATTCACTGTGAAAAGGGCAAGAAGATTTTCGGCTGTTCAGTCCTCTCTGGACAATACACCTGTTATGATCTCAGCAAATTGCAGAAAACATCAAAGACAGATATTTTGTTTTTTTTGTATAAAGAAATCGAAGTTGTACCTGAGAAATGCCTAAGAGACAGAATCGGATGGCTCTCAGCTCCATCAGCTTGAAATAAACTCAAAAGTAGATTTTCCAATTACTCATCATACTGTAGTAATCGCTAGGTCTGGCAAGGGCAACAAAATTCTTCAGGGTTCGAGTTGTTGATGTTACTGAGGGAAGATGACTCATGTTAACTGTTTGCAGTTTTGGTAAGGTGTTTTAAATCAAGTTAGTTGACAAAAAAGCTATTAAAGAGGTGACAGTGATTAGGTCAGGGAGAGAGCACAAGACCTTCCGTGGATAACAGGAAGGCTTTATCGAGTCCAGCAAAGGAGGTACATTTAATCCAGTAGAGCTTCCAACCTCTTTCTCTCATGGAAGATGTAGGATTTGGAAATATTGGCAGGTTTATGCATTGAGTTATGAAACAGGCCACAATATGTGTGAACAGTGTAGTTAAATATGTCCCTGTAGGGGTGATGGTGGCTCAGCAGGGGCTTGTTCTGTGGGCAGTAGGTTGCTGGTTTGACCCCTCAATCTGCCCCTCTCAGTTGTTGTGCCTTTGTTGTTGTCCCGCCTTGGCTACCGTCTTGGTCAAAGGGCCAAGTGGTACTGATTGTTTGCAGCATCACTGCTGTTCGTCTGCCCCTTTAGTCAGCCCTCTTCTTTTAAGAAAAAAGATAACTTGATGGACATAATATAAAATGGGAATGTTATGTCAGTTGTCTGGCTTCAGGGCTGTGTAAAATGTATTCTCTTTATTCATCGAAACTGTGTCAAAGTGAACCCAACAGGTTAAATTAGCAGTCAATACCACTCTTGTTTCTCCTTCGGAGGAATGTCCTTTATCTGAAACAACAAGGAAGCTTCCCCAGTGTGATTCCAGCCCACCATCCCTGTCTCCTCCCTGCTCTTTCCTACTCCAGAGTGAATGTAATCAGCTGTGACATGAGAAAACACGTTCTCTGTCTGTCAGAACTCTGCTAGTCCTCTGCTGACAGTCCTCTACTGACTCTCCTTCTCGTCCTTCTCTAAACCCCTCGATCCCCCACCACTCCAACTGCCTCCCCCTCCTCACATCCGCTGTGCTTATGAACATCAAAATGCCATTAGGCCCTCCAAAACACCTCTGGTCCCTTGGCCGGTGGGGCTTCACACTGAAGTTGTGCACTCTGAGCCCCGCGAGCTCTGACTATTGCTCACCGATGGGCCTCAGCTTCGGCCGCTGTGAGAAAATAAAACTCAAAAAGAGCCATTCTGGAGGAAAAACATAGAGAAGTGAAAGACGGATGGAACAACTGGGGCAGATAACACCCGGCAGAGTACAATAATGCAGCATCTGGCGACAGTTGAAGGTTGTAATTGCTTAAGGCAGTGGAGAGGGATGGGTGTGGAAGTGGAGGGGGCTGAGGTGGCACGTCGGCCTTTAATGGAGTGAT